CTAACTGTGGTAAGGTATAGAAGAACCAAATTCTACTATGAAAAATCAGGAAGGACCAGATGCACCTTCCTGAAGTGTCTAAGGACAGTGGTGATGATCCAGGGCACTCGACATTCAACAGCATTATGAATCATCTGCCCTTTTTGGACCAATGGCTGTTTATTTTTTATCACTGCATTTCTTTTGTGTCAACTGTTGGATTCTCTGATATGTGTTGGCGAATTCAGCAGTTGTCGAAGTCTTCTGAGAAAACGACTGCTGTGATTTGGGGCAATATAAGAATAAATTGAATGGAACTTCCTATAATGTGTGTTGTCATAATGGCTGGATAGGATATGACTTTATGTTTTTTTATAAAACAACATACAAATCGGTAACATTGACAACACATGCTGCTCAACAGTTTGGTTAAAAACATTCCCACGTTGCCGTTTAACTCTAACACCCAACAGACTGTATTAAAAGGGCACCACCACTACCACTACTACCCTTTTTCTAGTTTTTTCTCATACAAAATATGGAGCCCTGAAAGACTACAAGATATAAAATCAATAACAGAAATGAACAACAGATAAATATGCAATAACAATCGAGTGAAATGCTTGGGGGAAGCCATGTCGCTGTAAAGAGTGTCCAGGATTCATGCGCTCATATGCAATTCTGACACTCTGAAGCCTAAACCTTTTTCAACAACCATTTGTAATAATCATCAATCAGAATCAGAATCATTTTTATTGCCACGTAAGTAACAGGAAGTCACAGACTTGGAAATTGCTTTGGCTCAGTGCAACAGTCAGAAAGAGATAATAAAAAATAAAGAATAAGGAATAAATTTAAATTTAAATTTCTAATAGAGTTACAATTACTATTTACAATATACAAGTGCACATCAACCAATCATTTCAACCATTGAATTTTTTTAACTAAACAGTGACTGGGATATTTTTTTTTTTGTTTTTTTTTTTTTAAACAAAAGCCAGGTATAAACAGTATCACAACAGTTTCAGACTTCCAGCCTCGTTTGGGAACTGATCTGTCCAACTAAAAAAAAAAAACACAAATCCGCCCACATCAAAATAGCCGTGAAAATAATTGGACAGAAAGATCATAAACCCATTCAGGCGATTTGTGAAGAACCAGCGATGAGATGAGCCACAAACATTATCACTGACCCCAGACCTCTGTGTCGTTGTTGTCAGGGAGGGGCCTCAGAGAAGGAACAACAACAGGAGCTGGCATCTCTCCCATCCGCAGTCTCTTCACTATTGTACGTTTTTATTCTTCAATGGTTTTTGCCCTCGAGAGGCAATTTGTCTTGGGCACTGTTGCTTACAAGCAGAAGAAAAGCACACAGTATATTCTATTCCATCTGACACTGGTGAAAGTAACTCAAATTAACTGTGGCTTTAAGCGTTCCATAAAATGTATGTATAATGTTTGGAACTCTGCAGAAGCTATTCTCCATGTGTCAAAACTAGACAGCAATCTATAAAGTTGAACAGATGGTAGCCATTTTATTTAAAGTAGAGGAAGAATGACTTAAGGATAATTTAGAATATGCCCCTTTAGATGACAGATTCACGCCTTGAGGAAGGTCTGTAGGGCTGAAACACTTCGGTGTGTATAAATGCTTTAGCCATGCCATAAAAAAGTTTATATTTTTCAAAAAAAAGTGCCTTGGATTTTACCCGTTTCTCCATCAAATTTGGACCTTCAAAATTCTTTTCTATTTTTTAGTGATTTCAGCGATAACAATGTGAATTTCCAATTTAATTATATATTATAGATTTTATATATTGTACATTTTCTGTGCAGCGTACAAACCCAAATAGACTGAAAACATACAAACATCAAATGATGTTCTTATCAAAGTAAATAGCAAATTACGTAATACACCATTATAGTAAATAACAAAATAATAATTATGAATATAATTTTTAATCCCATTTGTTGTGCAACATTGTAATGTTGTATTGGATTTTGGACACAGGATCAATAAGGGGCGGATGACCAATGTTTTTGTTATCGTTGCATGTTTGATTCTCTGCTATGTGTTGGTGAATCAACTGATTTGTGAAGTTTTCAGAGACAACTGCTGCTGTGATTTAGGGCTATAGAAAATAGATTAAATAGATTTTTTTTTATGAATGTGGGGTGTCCCTGATGGCCCATTTTTCTGATGTTTGTCTTCATCAATAGATGTTCTACTCATATCTACAGCACGGATTGGCCGCGCACTCAGACAGCGCTGGTTCAGTCTCTTGATCACAGAGCGGTGGATTTCATGCTTGGTTTAAAAAGGCATCATCTACATTCCAGAGCGATGTGATTTATTGATCGCTTGGTCACTGTGGCCTCTGTATTTGTGCCATGTCTGTGGTTCAGCTCTGAACTAGTGGGAAAGGGAACAATGAAGATATGAAAACTATCCCCCGAGCGGTGGCGCTGGGTGGGGTTGAACTCTGCCGCTGTGAAGAGAGTTGTTTTAGTGAAGAGCAAACTACATGTTTTGGCAGCAGACCATCAAATTAAGTCGACTGCTTAGCTGCAAATGTGAAGAGCATGACACCAAAACAAATTCTGGTAAAAAAAAGGAAGAAAAATCAAAACAGCCCAGAGTTTGAGCAGTGTCAACACAGATGTCATTCCTTTAGATCAGGGTTGTCAAACTCATTTTGGTCAGGGGCCGAATGAAACAAGTAGGAACCGGTCAGGGGCCGAAAGATTAGATCTTATAAATATTTACATTATGAAGGTATTTTGACATTACTTTTATGTAATGAGAGTTACTATTTTGTTGATGATTTTTCTGAAAACAAAATCTTCAGGTTACCATACCATTACCATAAATGATGGAAGTTAATACATGAAAATCATTTCAGGGGTCACTAATAATGGTCTTGCAGGCCGGATTTGGACCACGAGCCTGAGTTTGATCTGCCTCCTTTAGATGAAAATGTATAAAAGTAACCACAAGGGAGACTTAAAGCTGAATTTAACAACTAAAATGCATTCCAATAGTTCTCACAACAGATGGGTTTTATTACTAATGTAGTTTTCACACAAATGTACTTTTGGCTTTTCACAATAAAAAGTGATAAAGAGACCACCGCTCAAGCTTTGCCAATCTAGCTCCCAGTCCAAACTTGCAAATAGTAAAGTAAACTTTTAGGTACTTTTCGGGTGTTTTCAGCTCCACAATATACTGAACATAATGAATCCAATAGAATTTGGGTCTATGGGCCAAGCTTGTTGTCTGTCTTTGTCTTTCCTAAATGATTTTTAAAGGACCTTCTATGTTTGAAATAAAGCTGAATCGATATACCAAAGATTACCTGTAAATTGTTGTGGTCTGATTTGTTCCCAAAAATCATACAGTACTTTCACAAGATCAACAAAGTGGAATATTGATTATAAAATGTATCGTACTAGAGCAACCAGGAACAGTTTGTTGATAGCATGTTGTAGTGCTTATGTTGGCCTTTCAGTGGTAAGGAAAATTATTTCAATTTTCACACACAGTTGATCCATCCGAGGCAAAGTTCTTTCAATTTCCTTTTAAGTCAGGTATAAAAAAAAAGGCATATGACAAATAAAAGGCATCATTTATCGTGTTATTATTTTAAATTGCGTAAAGCTGCAGTGTACTTCTGCCAGGAGTCAATCAAAATTCATATATAAAAAAAAAGTGTGAGTTTCATCCAACCTTCTGGGGGATTGTGAAGATTTCAGTTTGATTCTTGCCTTTATAGTTTAAAGAGAAAAGAGTGATAGCTTTGGTCAGTGCACCCACAGAACCTTTTAACGCATCATTCAAAAAGCACAGGGCATCTCTTCATCTCTACAAAACACATCTTGAGCCAATAGAACGTTGATGGACAGGCTGCTGTAACAAAAACAGAAAGCCGCAGGATCTCCGGGGTCTTCAGGTCGCAACCTTACAACTGAGGATGGACTAAGATTTATGTGCTTAAGAGAACCAAGCTCTTGAATGAATGTAGCAGACTCCAATGGCAGACAATTCCTGCACCTAGATCAAATAATTTTTCATTGGTAAACAGTCATGCTCGTTCTGAGAGTTCATGCTTCATTTTCATTAGTCATTTCTAGGGCTGTGATTCATGATTATTTTGATACTTGATGAGTTGGCTGATCAGTCCTTAAGTTAATCAATTGGTTGTTTGGAGCAGTGTTTTTCAACCAGTGTGCCATGGTACATTAGTGTGCTTTGAGATGCTGTTTGGTGTGCCCTGGGAAATGTTCAAATTTTGCATAATTGGTCAAAATAATGTGAAAAGAAAATGATGTGAGAAGATCAGAATGATTTTTTTTTGGTGCTCGTTTCCTTTTATATATTTAACTACTTTGACTAGAATGATTTTGCTTGAATGAGGGGTTGGTGCAAGGTGAAGTGGATTAGGATCAAGGGGAAGAAGATGGATGGATTTTGCCATGGTGATGTGCCATGAGAGTGTTTACAACCAAAAAGGTGTGTCATGGCAAAAAAAAGGTTGGGAAACACTGCTTTAGAGGTCAAAAGGCTGAAGTGATGACCCTGGAGAAAATTACAAATCAGATTTTTTGATCGAAGATACACATTCATTAATCGTACTGAAAAGTCCTCTTAGCTTGTTCATGGCTTTTGTTAAATGTCGTTTCAAAAATAAAGGGTTAAAACTATTCAAATATCTTATCCCCCATGCCTGCAAGCTTTGTTTTCCCAAGGTTATTGCATATTTTTCATTCTAAAAATCCTTGCAATCCAGTTCTTATTGAAAGACAGTTGCCGGGTGAGAGTACACAACTATTGTTTTTGCTACACTACACTGACCACGCCTTCTTAGGGAGTACCATCAGACAAGTTACACAAAACCAAAGCGTGAGAAATTTCTCAAGATTTGCTAGCTAACAACGCCAATCCCTAGAACCTGAGCAATAAAAAACCTGACAAACTGAACATACTTGTAGTGGTTCAATCCAGTGTTGTGTTTGTTACTCACGTAGATCTCGTTGTGGTCAAAGCGTTTCCTCAGGTTGTCTATGAAGGAGTCTTCTGACAGGGGCTCCAGGAGAACCATGTCCCCCACCCCGATCATGTTGTCCAGAAGTGACGTCTTCACCTCCATGTTGGATCAGGTGGCCCTCTCTGCAGCACAGAACACAGGGAAGTGGCTACATTAGCTTACAGGAGAGATAAAGAAAAATAAAAACGGTATAGCGTGCATGCCTTTTCATGGTACAATGTGAGAGTAACTGAACTAAAGATCTTCACCCAACTTTAAAACCAAATACTGAAAAAATAAAACTAAAAACCACTTTACCATCTGGTTCTAAAATTGTTTTGTTCTCCCTGGTTCTCACAGGCATGTACTGTGTTTTTAGATACAATTTTTCAGACATAAAAGTGAAGTGAACGACCCACATCCAAAAGTGTCAATTAGTGACTCACAGAGCTCTTTGCAAAGTATGCAAAAGATATTTTCTAATCAGAGGAAGCATGTTGTTGTTCAACTTGTTCACAACGCTTTCTCTGGGAACAAACAACATTGACTAATAATGAAATGAAAAGGTTTGGTACCACAGCGTTCACTGACTTCGGGAAGAAAGGCTCCAGCACAGGTCGACTCTTCACGTTTCGTTATTTGTGTTCAGTCAAATATGTTTTTAAGTCCAATAATTTCTATGGAGGAAAATGGTTCTTTGATCTTAAATGTTGAAGTAAAAAGAGGGACTTATGAGCATTGCTTTAAGTTTGTGAATTTAAATTGGACCATTTTCTGTATAATATGAAGCCGAAAGTGAATGCTGCAAAAGAAAACCTGTTTTGTAAATCACAGGAAGACGACACATTGTTGTCAGAATCAGTCACAACATTTTCCAGACTCCTTTTGTTGGGACAAATCATGAAATGAAAATGTTGGGTACCCTCGAAAATGAAATGATTGGGTACCTCAGGCATAACTGACTTCAGGGAGAAAGACTACACACTTCACACATTTCAGTCCCTCTGACTACTCTCAGGTATGTGTTTGTGGCCGCCCTTGGTGTCCCCTCAGACCATTCACACGATTGAAGTTGTAATCATAAGCAAATATTTGCACATTTGAAAACACAGAAAAGCCATTATTGGAAATCTTCATTCTTTCAAAAGGTTTAAGCATTCAAATAAGTGCTATAAAGATATTGCATGTGAAACTTAACACTAGCCCTTTATATATTAATAAACATCATTACCCAAGAGGACAGGAGGGGCAGATCAGAGATTTGTCAAAATGATTTTAACATTTCCATACATCAACTTTAGCTGCAATTGGACTTGCATTGTTATAGATGCATTCTCAGGCATTTCAAATTGAGAAACAAAAATCTTTATTATTATTTTCAGCTTTTTGTCATCGGTAAACAAACAGCTCTGAAGTTAGCTCAAATAAACCATAGGGCGGACATGTTTGTTCAGCGGCGCTTTGGCTCCAGGGGAATATAGAGCGCTCTGATTGGCTGCTGCTCTCTGCTCTGGCCTTTCTGACAGTCCCAAAGGTGATTGCATAACAGTTACCCCCGACCCCATGTGCTTGTTCTGTGTGAATCCACTCATGTTTAGGAGAGACTTATAAATCAAAGAGAAGGCTGGGACAACACAGGATGGGGCGGCCGCAGCTGGGTTCTTTTATCCAACTGATTTGGAGTAAATTAAACTAGTAATTAAAAGATCAGCACTGTGACCTTTCTAAATACTAAGAAAAAATAATATGTCATGGCTCTTCTAGCCTGGCCATAGCCATCTGTACACTCCGCTCAATCATCATTTCACTGCATGTAACGTCTGGGTCTGGTCCCTGTGTCAGCGAATACAATCGGTTGAATTTCGACCGGCTACTCAGAGAGCGCAGAAGGCTGGTATTGTAGGTCGTGCCGGTGACGTCAAGAGTTTGCGCCGAACGGGCAGGTTGTAGTTTGGCAATGGCGAAGAATGCGATAGTAAAGTAATCCGGTCTGGTTCTATCAAGAAATTGAAGCCGGAGCAAGAGGAATGTTTAGCAAATGTAATCACTGGTCAAGATTGTGGCGCTACTCCCCACGCAACAAAGGAGATGGCTAAAGCTAGGCTAAATGCTAAATTCTTAACAACTCACTCGGGCGCATTACAAACGTCACGGTAAACTCAGATCCAATCGTTTCAATCTGCAAAAGGAGTTCACCCCTCCCACCTGTTCACGGAGCTCAATGGAGCAAATCCAGACCTTAGTATGAAATGAAATTTGTACTAAGGTGTGGTACGAACAGGCTATGGCTCTTCTGCTTCCGGGTGAATATTCAAGATAAGTCTAAAAGCTTACTTCTTTAAGCAATAAAATAACATATGGACATTTATCAACACTTGTCGGCAATAGTCAACTCCCCCTATGGAATTATAATATTATTTGTGTTTGATCTGGTTGATTCTCTGATCTGTGTTGGCGAATTCAACAGTTTTGTTAAGTGCTAAGTCAACATAACTACTGTTGTGATTTAGCACGATACAAGAGTGAATCGAATTGAAATTTAGTTTGATCTTTAACTTTCAATGTTTCAGAACTTTTTGCAAAACCTGCTGTTCAACAAGGAGGTTAACAGCCCAATGTTACAAAAGAAATGGTGCTGACTCAGAAAATGTCAATTCATGGATCAACTTGTAATTGGTTTTTCACTTCATGGGATGTGGACGACTAACGATGAATCAACATTACCTGTACCTTGCAAAATAACATTGTACGTGTTTCATCAATCTATATTGTTTACAGCACATTGAGAAAAAGATGGTCATTGTTGCTCTCCCCCGGAGAGCAGATTGTACAAAATAGTCAATAATTGACTTCTGTATTTTTGTAGTGTATAGTTTAAAGAACTTTTAACATTATATTTGGTCATGTTAATCATGTATAATGAATAGTAAATGCATACTTAAAATATGCAATTACTAAAGTTACAGCAAGGAGCTACTTGGAATGGGGGGGTAAGTCACCGGTAGCTCTCGGACCACAGGTTTGAGGCACCTTTTGCAATTATCCAAATTTTGCTAAACAGCTTTCTTTCTGAGCCTCGTGAATAATTACCGTTTACATCAGGTTTGTTATAAATACCAGAAATGAGAAAAGGAACAAATGATTTGTTTGGAGATAATATGCATCACCGCCTGGATCCAAGAACGGAGGTCTGCCCTCCACGATATTTGTTTAATATTTATTTTTTTGTTTATACAGTAAGATTGTATTTTCCGCGGTACATTGTGATGCTTGATGGGCACAAAGAAAGTGCTGTCAGTGGCAGTTTTTTGGAGCAGTCTCTTGTGGCCTTTGGAACAGTAATCCTGATGCTTTGGGCCAGAGATAAAAGAGGACTAAAGCCCATTCACCCAGTGGATACAGGGCTTTGCTGTACCAAACACGTCTGCTGCTGCTGCTGCGACAATCCACCCAAGCTCCAGATCTACTGTGTTGAGAAACTCACCCAGTTTTGATACAGATTCTTGCATTTTATGTTCCAAAGTAAAAAGAATAATAGAATCATAATGCTAAATTCTATGAATACTCGGCAAACTGCAAAAACCATTTCAGTATGACGAGATGTGTGCTTGTTCCATGAATATATCTGCTTTGAGACAATGGAAATGTTCTCATACAGCTAAAAATATAAATCAACTTCCATTACGCAGTTGCAGTACACTGTAGTTTAATTCTCTATAATCGCAACCAAACGGTTATTGTAATAAATTGTCAAAACTGATTTTTTTTCCACAGACAAAATGGTGTCCCCTAAATAATCTCCACTGTACGGCCACAAGAGTTCACAAAATCCCTCTCTGATCGCTGAGCCAATAACCAACAATCATCAGTGGCTTTGACTTTTAGAAGTAATTTAGGAACAGCAGGATCTCTGAAGAAAGATCCCCCTATGAAGTCTCGTCCACTAGCTCAAGACCTCAGTGTTCCTTCGGGCTACGGCGTTATAGCCTCATAAAGAAGTTGCCCTGCTCTTGGTGGGAGCTAACGGCGCTAATGAAAGCAAGCCTCTTGGAAAAAGGTAGGACCAGGCAGATGGGGGAAATGATTGATGTTAGTTGCAATCAAAGTATCCTGAAGGGGGCTGTAGTGTTGTAAAGATGCCAGCTCACTAATTTGGCCTCAGGGGACCAAACAAGAGAATAAAGTTAGTCGAGACATAGTTCTCCAGCTAAATTGTGACTTAAAATGACACCAAGACAAAACATTGGCCATTAAGCTGCATGTGTTGTCTGGTATGTCGTTTAAAAATAGGTTTGTTTCTGTAAATGTAGTCTGAGAATGTCTCAAGGTGATAGAAGAGATTCTCCTCTTACTTAGAATATTGTATCAGCCAGTCTTTGAGACAGTGTTGGGTAATTATTATTTTAGCACCTCAATAAAAAAAGGGGAGAAGTTTTCCATTGATTCAAATATCAAACTTTTCAGTAGAAGGGCCGCTAAAGGTAACAGACTTGATCATGGGCCGACAACATAAGTGTTTTGACTGGATTTGGGCTTTTGTGGGCGATTAGCGTTGTTCTAAATGGAATGTTGTGACACAATTGAAAACAAATTGTTTATTTACATAAAAAAAAAAAAAAAAAAAAAAAAATGTGTTGCCGAATCATGCAGTCATCTTTTGGACCACATTTGTTTTCAGTGGAATGAGAAGCAGATACTGTACACCATCTCTGAAACGAAGAGATAGATAGAATCTAATATATGAATTGCATAAGAATCTGTGCACCCCCAAAAAAACTAAAAATATACACCGAAAGTTACAATCATCATCCCTGATCCATTTCTTCAAGCGGATTTACAATCTTGGCACATTCACGAATCTATTTTGGCTGCTTTACTTATTTTGGCAGGTCAGGCGAGTGGTTCACTCCCCAAAACAAAAGGGAGGCTAATCTGCTGCTACCGAGACATTTAACGTTTTCCACCAGTGGAAGTTTCAATAACAATGTACTTCCATCCATGATATCACATGTTCAGGTTTCCCCAGAACGTAGGAGACAACACCGATCTGAAAACAGCTGCAATGTGATTTTTAACCCCCACAACAATGACCTAAAACCAAGGTGTACATTTCAGCAGCAAAT